TTTGGTGAATTATTTTGAAAACAGGGATGCTGTGCTCGTTTATTCTCCTTTTGGTGCGATGTGATCTTTGTAGATTGACTCTGTGCATGATCCGGCATCCAGCAAAAGTAGAACCGACTCATATTTTGGCAGATGTCAGTGCGCATGCCRCCACCCTGTGCATGTAGTGTAAATGCTCTCATTGACTATAATGGGTGCATTTTTACTGTGCAGTTCATGTCGCAGCATAGTGGATGCATTGTAAATTGGGGGGGGGGGGGTAACAGCACCACAGTGGTGTGCACACCACCACACACACACCATCCCCCACCAACCACAGCAGAAACATGGCCAAAAGCTTATTACTTCCTTACTTTTTCAAACGTAATGCCATCAAAACATATAAACAAAGAGCAGCTGGATATGAAAGGGTTTTCACTTACTTTTGAAGAAGAATATTTCTCTCTTTCATGGCCATTTCATTCCAGAGTGCAAGACGCTTCCACAAATACACCACTATTTACCTCTTTTATTTAGACTTTTCCTGGTCTGAAAAATCACTCTTTTTTCCTCCTGAACCACTCCACCACCTTGTAACAGCTATATTTTCTATTTACTTTTAGTGGCAAAAGCACAAAACACAGCATTTTTTGTCCATTCAAAGGAGTGCATTCGTGTGTGGATAAATAAAGTAATTTTACGCTTTGATTTCTTGAAGCTACTTTGGAATCTAACTCAGTGAAACTGCACGTGTGGGACAGAGATTCAACTGGCTGTGGTGTCTTACCCCCAATTTACACTGCTTGCGTTCCGTCTTCACTCCGCTCCGGTCCGAACTCCGCAGCAAATACGCACCCATTATAATCAATGAGAGTGTTTACACTGGCTGCGCACGGCGGCGGTGAGCGGACGGCGATCCGTCAAAATTAGAACAGATCCTATTTTTGCCGGATGCTGGAGCAGCTCCGGAGTCAATTTTTAAAGATTACGTCACACCAACAGGAAAAGACACGAGCACAACATCCGTATTTTCAAAATAAGACACTATTCGGCGGAATAATTTGTCGAAATAATGTCGAAATTGCAGCAATATTAATAAATATACGGATATATTTCTACACAAATGCTATCAGAATGTATGGTTCTGTTTGGGAAGCAGATGGAAACATGTAGCATGAGGCATATGTGTGGACACATGATATACATGGATTTTATTTTGAAATCAGAAGTTTCAGAAAGCTGGCAGTGAGACAGTTTCAACATAGATACCAAAAGCCTTTATTTCGTTGTTTTCAGCTGTGTTTGGAGTTCGTCTTACACAGAATTAATAATTTTTTGCTGTGACTTCCACATTTATCACTGAATTTATCGCGCGATCTGCTTCCTGCATGTCTGTCGGACCGGAGTGGAGCGGAGGTAGTGTAAACTGGACTTGAAACGCACAGCTGTGACCTGCGCTGTGGAGCGCAGCGGAGCTTAGACACATGCAGTGTAAATTTGGGGTTACAGGCATGAGAGCTGATTGGCCTGCCTTGTATGTGAAAATGTGTGTGTGTATCTCTGATTACAATACATGACATTCTGGAGGGACAAAAAATTGATCTAGTTGGTCAAAAGAGGTGTCAATCAAAAGATGAAGGCTTGTTCCATCAAGAAATCCTTTAATTTTTGGTCATTTACGAAAGCGAAGTAAGTTATTCCTTTCATATCATTCGTTTGCATTTTGTAAATCTGTAAACAATTTGTTTTATATTTTTGTCTACCTGTAAAAAAGTTGCAGGATCCCTTCATGAAAAATGCAGTTCAATATGTCATCTTCTCTTTGTTCTGCTTATTATCATTTCTCTGCTGGCGTGGGTTCCATCTCTGAAAGCAAAGAGCAAATCGTACTTCAGTTTTATCTCAGTTTGACATTGCATCTGTCTTTTTCTAAAACAGTGTGTCAATGAAGAAGCAAAAGACTATCCTTTCATTCGAAGACAGAAAAGGTCAGGCTTTTAATGAGATTGGGCCAGGTCAGAGGAAGAGACGGAGACTGGAGACGAGCTAATAAGAGGGACAAGTGGGGAGGTAGTTCAGGGTATGCAAAAGAAAAGTTAGATAATGAAATGAAGCAATTTATTTTATTTTATAGATTTGCTTTTGACTCTTTTATCAGAGTTACTGACTTTTATTTTCCAAAATATGTGAAAATAAAGTGATTCCAATATGGCTGAAGAATTATTGATGAAGCTGACCCAGACAGATGTAACAAAAGTTATTTTCATAAAAAATGACAATGTCCAACTTTAGTGCACCTAAAAAAAGTTTTTTTTAAAGAAACACATAATGAAGTATTTCTTTGCAAACATCTAAAGTAGAATTTGGTCTGGATGGTGCAGATTTTTCTTTTTGATGAAGCTAATATTTATAGCGTCACAGCTAAAAGCTGCAAAATCTTTCAATTTCCCAGAGGTGAGCTCACCCTCCTATACTTTTATTAGTTTCTGAATGACATCATTAACTTTTTAAAAAGCAGGGAAATGATTTCCTGTTTTAATGAAGGTCTCTGTGTATAAAGGAGCTCATGACTGCTGACTGTTAGGACAACATGACGACTAAAGCTTTGAATAAACGTCCTCCATGAGTGAGACACCACGATGAATATATCTACAAAAAAAGGTTTGCTTTGTTGTTCTGTAGGATTATACAAAACAATACACAAAGACCTTGCTTTTGTTGGAGATTATTTCATGACTTTGTTTAATTTAAAACCTTCCTAAAAAGTTCATCTTTTGGTTGCTTAACCTCCCACATTTTTCATTCCTTGGTCATTTAAAAAATAAATAAATAAGTCAGATTTGATCTCACTGTCTGGAAACAAAAAGTTTGAACTGGTTTCAATCTTTTTTTGTGATACCACTAGGGCTGGATATTGTTAACAACCTCAYAATTCTATTCCATTTTTATTTCAAATCTTCGGGTCACAGTTTGGCTGGATAAACGCCTGTTCATGGGGCTCTCGTGTTACACAGGTTACCAGGTTGCCATGTGCCTGGCAAATACATGACGCAAAGGTTTACTCCTCCCTACACTGAGGAGGAGAGAAGAGGAAGATGCGAAGAAAGCAAACAAGCAAGCAAAAGAAAATTATCAGTCTTATTTTAATTTATTATGCGWTTAATTAAATTATTGCTTATCACAAAAGGCCTAATCATCGCTCCACTTTATTTTGCTGAAATCCCATGTAAAATTAAAATTTGGAGAGATTTGCGGTAATTATGAATATATCTGAAAATAACAGTCTCATGGAGAAAACTGATTTTGAGGAAGAAGAAAAAACAAAAACAGAATTAAAACAAACGTAGACACACCTATAAATTGGGTCTTACAAATTTATATATTTCTGTGTTAATCATTTTATTAAAGAATTAAAGCAACAAAGACAGACCGTCTGCTGTCAAAGCACTTTACRCTACAACAAACCAGTATTTTTACCCACCCCTCGATACTACAGTATTTAAATTACATTCTGCAGCTACTTGGTTTTTTTCCTCGTGAATGTTTTCTCTATAAATCCTGTGAATTCCCTCCAAGCGTCTCACAAACACTCCGACCAGCTGCAGCTCAGTGAACTCATTTGGTTCGAGGTCAGTGCTTTTTGTCCTTGGCGGTTTCTCTTAGACACGAGTCAAAGAGGCCAGTGCTGCTGTAACTGACACAGGCTGTAATGTTCACCGTCTTCTCCACCGGCCATTAAATCCTCCTCCCACCCCCACAGCTCCTCTGCTGCCCTCAGGCCCACCTCAGTCCGTTGTATCTCCAGAGACACTCATTATTCACATTCATGGCTCACAGCGAGGGCTGATGCACCTCATTTTGTCTCCCTCGGCTGGTGTTTGTGACGCACACACWATGTTAGGCAATAGCCACGTGCAGCCAAACGGTATAAAAAATGCATTTGTGGTAATTATTTCAGCCTTTCCTGTCTCATTTCTTCAATTGTTTGCTCTCTGCAGATAAAACTGAAAAGTTGTGAAAACATTTWAATCCAGAAATATTTGCCACAAAATGACCTCATTGTATTTATTTATTATTTTTCAATCATGTCCATTGAAAAATAAAGTATTAAAGTATTGGGCAAAGAAAGCTTGCATCTTTGTGAGACTTGAATAAAAGTCTCCTGGTTGTTTTCTTTAAAGTACCTATTCTTTGAGGATAGTTTTGCAGGCATACGGACAGCTCCTGTCAGGCCCAGCTCTCAAAGAGATATTTTGTTTTTAATGTGACATCATCAGCCCAGCTTTGATATTCTTCTCAGCAGAGAAGAAGTCCAGCAGATTAAATATGGGACTAATTGAATGTGCTCATGTCTCTCTGTTATGAAGTGGAGTTTGTCTTAAAAACTTATTTTGACAACTTTTCTATCCAAAACACAACTTCACAATGAACGTGATTATTTATCAAATGTCTGGTGTTTTTGTCAGAAAGTTGTRATGTTTGCAGACCTTGTATTTAACATTTGTGACTCCACATTATTCCAAAGACATGCAGTACCTTTGGAAAAGAGTGGGTAACAGGATGAAATATCCTGAGCTTTTGTCATCTAACACAATCAGTCTGTTATTCTCAGCAGACCTTGTTGCAAAATGTTTCATCATCTTTGTCAAAAGCAATCTGCTAAATACAGAAGCTGAAAAAAGTATTTAACATTTCATTATGCACAGCGCTTGTATTTGAATTAAACATGTAACCTATTCCTAATTGTACTTGAAAAAGACTTATTACAATGGTTATATTCAGTCTATTTTAGGTTCATTCATTAAAGCTGTTAAAATGTTTTATTCCCAGTCTTACAGGCCTTCAGAGGACAGCTGGCACCCTCACTGTGAATTATGAATTATCACTCTTAAACCCAAATGTCCATTGTGAGAAATACAAAGAGAAACAAAATGAACAAAAGGATTTCTATCACTCATGTGTGTGTCTTCACCAGGACAGTGTGATGATTTCCTCCTGTTTCTCTTCATGTGTGTCTCCAGGTGCAGCAGGATGCCGGGCCGACTGAAGTCTTTCCTGGCCTTCCTCCTGCTTCAGACTGCAGGTTCTGGTGAGTTCTGACTAAACTCACCTGTGATGTTTAATGGATTGGACTGGCTTGCAACTATTGTCTCTGCAATAACAGCAGCGGCTGAACTGGGATGATGATAATTGGCACAAAAGCTCAGCGCTAATCAGAACTGTTAAAGTGATCCACAATTACTTGTGGCATTAGACATTAGGCTATTTAATAAACATTTATCTAAAAAAGTAAAAAATACTATAGGCTGTTTAGTTTTTATATATTTGAAGAATATATTGTCACACGGACAATACTATTTTATGACTAAATCATGATGTTCTCTAGATTCCTGGTGAGAGGCTGTWTGAGCTCTTATCCACCCTGAAGGTTACTCTTGGACAATATCTGCCCATCAGCTCATTTAAATAAAACCAGAGAGCGTTGACAGAGAGGAGAAGGTAGAAATGACTCAGCCTGTAACTGAAAATGATGATGAGGACAACAAATCTTCATGGATAGAGAACATCGGTTTAGCCTGATAGGTTTCCTGTTAGCACCAAGCTAATATATATATATA